CACACACACACACACACACACACACACACACACACACACACACACACACACACACACACACACATGGAGCTTGCTCCAAGTCCATTCTGGGAAGCATCAGTTCAGTTCGCTGTCCACCGGCATCAGTTCTTGTGTCTCGGCTATCGGTTCCAAGTCTGAGTACTCATCGGATGCTCATTGCATGTGTGTGCGAGGGTGACTGACTTGCGAATCGTTGCATGCTCAAACTTTTCCCAACACTGTGACAGGTAGTGGCGGTCAAAAAAAAAGAAAAGAAAAGAAAAGAGATTGAGCGCCTTTCTCTGGGTCTCATGTCGATATGCGATCCTGGGTTTCTTCTTGCACAAGAATGTCATGTCTTTCTGTTGATGACTCCGAATTGTGGCCAGTCATGCCACGGGACGCATAATCCTTGGCTCGTCGCTACCTTAACCCTCCTGAGCCAAGTATGTCTACATTTCCTTTTCAGTGTCGGTTCCGACTCCGGGTCTCCTTGAATCAGTATTGTGACATGTCAGAGTGTCAACACGATGTACTGACATGTCAGACGGCCATGTGACCGGCAGCTGATGTGGCACAACAACTTGCCGATAGCGCTGATACGCATATGCAGTTATTAGACTTATTATGCGCACGAAGTTCTAAACGACTAGTAAAAGTCCTTTTCTTCTTTAATTAAAATACTACTAAATAACTAAACTAGTCCAAATTCTGGATTTGTGTGTCATCCTTTTGCAGGGACCATGCCAATCTTCTTTGTATGGCTCCAATTTTAAATAATGGATGTCCCGGAAGGACAAAGGTTCTGAAAAAGTCGAAAACTTGACAGAATCAAAACAACACTGTTGGCATTTTGATTGTGTGTGTGTGGAAAATTCCTAATTCTGTCTTCACATTTCAGGTCCTTCGCATGTAAGGGGATGATTTGGAAATGTGTCTAAATTTCTCGTGAAGTATTCCGTACTCGCGTCCACCCCCAAACTCACAAACACCAGTAATATTTTTACTATCAGAAAAGAAAATACAGTTGGAAATGTTTCAGATGATGTTCTTTGTGGTGTGCATGATATGTGTATATTTGTTTGCAGGTGGTCACGGAGCTCATATTCAACGGCGTGTTTAAGGACTTGACAGTTGATCAGGTGGGAACAGCGAAGGCACCTATTGCGGAGAATGCGTTTTTTTTTTCGGATTATTTTTCCCCTTTTTTTCCTCATCTGGATCTAACCTTGTACGAGTGTCCCAGGAACTTTTTGTTTTGAATGTTCGTTTTTTTTTTTTTTTTTTTTTTTTTTT